GAGGCGGGTGATCGACTCCTCCGGGGGGCTGGCAGTGTGAAGGAAGCGGCCCAATGGTTGTGGCAAGCGCGAGCAGCGCACGGGCTTGCAAACTTGGCAGGAGTGGAGGACCCATGCTTGGATCAGATCCTTCACCCGGACCTCCTGGCCTACTTGAGGCATGTCAAACGCCATGGCATGGACGCCCGTCATCAAGTCAAGGCCCGAGGGAACGAGCGAGGGCCAGCCTTCGCCCGAATGCCAAGAAGAACTTGGAACAGGTCTATGCCCAGATCTGGAAGGACGTCAAAAAGCACAGGGTGCTGGTGGCGAGTCAAGATCACCCCAATTTGGGCAACACGATGGCCTCTCCCTTTGAAGCAGTTCCCAAGATGCTCCCCGACCGCTCGGTCTCGAAGGAGGTGCGGGTGGTGCACGACCAGCGCCCCATCAATGAGGGGACGCACAAGGATTTCCACCCACCAGCTTTGCAGCCCACACATGATCAGATCGCCCGACGGGTGTTAGCTATGAAGCACAGATACCCTGGGATTGAGGTGAACATCGCCAAGAAGGACATCTCGGGCGCGTTCAGGCTGCTGTGGGTTGCCCCGCCGGATGTGGAGCTCTTCGCTGGTGATTTGCCCTGGAACTCCGTGGCGATGGTCCAGGATGAAGGGACTACGACCAGTCATCATGGCCGAGCCTTCACGGTGCTGTACTTGGTGTCTTCCTTTGGGTTCTCGGGGTCACCGGGGGAGTGGACCCCTTGGGGGAGGGCTACGGAGGAGTTTCATCGTGCTCATCGTCCAGGGTGCCCTCGTCGAGACGGGGCAGGGGGTTTTGATTGCAAGATCCTCGTCGACGACGCGGTCCTGGTTGAACCGTTGGTGGGACTACGCCCTTGGATCTCTGCAGCCTGCTACGAAACAGGGGTCAAGCAGCTTTTGGGCAAGGAGGCCGTCAACCAGGAGAAGGACCTCATCGAAGGGCAATTCAAGCAGGAGCAAGTGATTTGGGGCCTGGCAATGAATGCCCACACGGAGAAGGCCTTCCTGCCGGAGCGACGGATTCTACGAGGCTCGCACCTCCTGTCCGACGAGGCCTTCGATGCAGGGCAGAAGAAGGTCACGGTCCGCCAAATGCAGCAGTTCCGAGGGATCATGACTGGATGGGGAGTTGTGGTGAAGGGTTTGGCAAACGAGTTGAAGGCCGCGGACATTTTCCTGTCGGCAGATGAAGGGGGCCTCCCTGCGAACCCACGATCCTTAGGCTACAAGGACCCGCAGTTGGAGAAGGAGAACGCCTGGTCTGATTTGTGGGAGCTGTTCGAGGTTTGCCGATGGTTGTGCGCCCGCTCCGACACCTGGGAGGATCGCTTTGGCACCACTCTGAAGGAGCTCCTGCCGGTGAAGGAACGTCTGAGTCTTCCCAACGAGTGGCAGGACACCATCTGGGTGTCGTCCGATGCTACCACCACGGTGATCGGGGCCATTGACTGGTCGTTTAAGAAGGCAGCTCGGGCCAAGGTGATCGACTTAGAGCCTTGGTTGAAGGGAGTCGCCGAGCAGGAGATGCAGGATGACGCCAACATGAGGGTTCATATCTCTGAGATGCTCTCCTTGGTGGCGTTTATGTGCGAGCGGGGACCTGACTGGAAAGGAAAGGTCGTCTTGTACGCCGGGGACAATTCCACGGTGAGACAGTGGGTGTGCAGGAGGCAGAGTGGTTTGAGAGCAGGCAAACTGCTGATTCGGGTCATCAACCTGTGCGAGATGAACTACGGCTTCACCCTGGTGGGAGCGTGGTGGAGGACGTATCACAACACAGACTCCGACTTCATCACCAGGTGCGAGGACGACGAGTTCGGCGAGTTCTTGGAGAAGAAAGGTTGGGACAATGTCAGCTTGGGACCAGCCATTTGCCAGGCCATCGAGGACACAGATCGCTTCGGACCCTGCTTCTCGTCGTGGAAGGACCCGGAGGACCGGCGCGTGATGATGCAGCTCAAGGAGAAACGCATGAAGCGTTTCATCGACCGCCCGGTCGGCATACCATGGGAGCGCCTCGAGGTGGTGGAGCTCGCCGTTGAGGACAGGTGGGTTAAGGACTTCGAGCTGCTGGCACGGCAACATGTCATGGACCACGTGGGCGAGATCAAGGTGGTCGTCGCGACACTCCCCGTGGACAAGAAGGGCAAGATCGTGGCCGAGTTCAACAAGCAGCTCACAGACCAGAAGCCCCAGATTGTTGTTTGGGAGGGACCCCGGAACGGACCGTGGGAGGCGGCCGCTCGAGGCATGATCGAAGTTGGTTTGCAACCCGTCCAGTTCGAGTTTGTGTCAACAGAGCTGGGGGAGCTTCTGGCCCGACGTCGCACATGTCTGGTGGCTACCAGCTTTGGCGCCTCGGAAGACCTAGCAAAGCGGTGCTTGGTGCGCACGGTCACCGCTCCACCTTTGGGGACCTGCCTGCAGAGAGCGCCTCACGGCCTAGACCTCATTTGGAAGAAGCCTTGTCGGCTGACGATCGAGCCGGGCATTCCTCGAGACCCACTACTTCCTCAAGTCGTTGGCCATGCCTGGGATGTTCCGGAGGGAGAACGAAAAAATGTCCATGGACTTGCAGGACCCGGCCGATGGCCCTTGCGGAAGGAGAACGGGGAGTTCGAGAAGATTGAGGTCTATGACAGGTTTGGACGACCGGGCCACCTTCGTCAACTCGCCAGAAGGGAGAGGAAGTGGCATCTGGAAGCCGAGTGCGCCTGGAACCACGTCGCCCCCCTTTTGATGGCGGAGTCTCCCAGCAAGTGGAGGAGTGGCTGGAGGAGAACATTGCGGGCAGCAAGGCCAACAGCACGCTCCGGATGTATCAGTCGGCATGGACAAAGTGGGAAGCATGGTCTGCGCGACAGGGTTGGACCACATGCTACCTCGACATCCGCGCGGACAAGCTGGAGAACGAGAACCGCCTGCTCGCGTTCTTGGGCTACTTGGGCTGGCTGGGGTCTACGGCCGCGACCATCAAGCAGGCCCTCTTCGCCATCAAGGACGGCCACAAAAGAGGAGGAGCTGGCGATCCCACAGACGGCATGTTCAGGGTATGGATGCTGGTAGGGTCTTTGGATCGCCATGCAGACAAGAAGCCGAGAAGGCTGGGGGTAACTCCAGGCATGCTTGTGTGGGTTGGGAAGCACTTCAACGAGGAGGACCTCATGGGCGAGGACAAGGTGGACAAGGCCATGGTGCAGGCAGCCCTCCTGGTCGCATGGTTCTTCATGTTGCGTGCCAAAGAGTACTGCGATTCCGGAGGCATTGACTACCAGATGGTGATCAGGGGCATGGACGTTCGCCTGACTCGGGATGGCCAGGACGTGACCGAACAGGCGAATGAAGTGACAGTCCAATTCCGCAAGACCAAAGCGGACCAGGAAGCCTTTGGATCGTGCAAAACTATGGGGGCCACTGGGGAAGCCTTTCTATGTCCTGTACGAGCTCTAGAGGAACTTCGAGCGGTTGCAGGACGTCGCTTCGCTCCAGGGCCTGAGTCGCATCTCCCACTTTTCAGATGGGGGAATGGAACTTCTTTAACTTTGAAGAGGACCGAAGTGCAGGTGATCCTCCAGAAGGCAGCGAAAGCAGAAGGCTTACCTTCGGATCGCTTTATGTCGCACAGCTTGCGCATTGGGGGCGCAAGTGCGTTGTTTCAAGCGAGTGGCGAGATTGAATTGGTGAAGAGAATGGGCCGCTGGAGTAGCTCAGCTGTGCAAAGATATCTATATGACGGAGGTGAAGTGCTGAAGCAGATGTCCGGCAAAATGGCCAGAGTGAACCAACGAGTTCACTACACCTGATGGCTTGAAGCGATGGCGGGGGGTTCTTGGCTGAAGAGCCATGCCTGGGTTGACAAGACCTGAGAGCTTGCA